GTTGTATTTTGAGATTGTTTGAACTGTGGTGTATGTTAAGTTACTGTCCTGGTTCTGGCAAGGATAGAGTTAATTTCCCAAGGAGCCAGGACAGGTGAGCCAAGCTGGCCGGGGGCTATTCCATACCCTGTGACGTCATGCTCACCATCAAAGGGGGCTAGGCGGGCAGGGGCGGGTGTGGTGTGGCTCCCGGAGGGGCTGAACGGGATGGTCGGTCAGTGGTTGGATCAGTAAATTGTTCTCTGTTATCACCCATTGTGAATATTTGCTATCAGCACTGTTGTTGATTGTTTTCCCTCTCCCTTGCTGTCCCAGTAACCTGCCCTTACCCCAACCCTTGAGGCTTTGCTGTTGTTTTCCTGTTCTCCTCCCCATCCCAACGGGGAGGGGTGAGCCAGCGGCGTGTGGGCGTGTGGCACTTAGCTACCGGCTGGGGCTGAACCACGTCACTTACCTAGCACATTCTGTTGGGCTTTAGTTATGGTTAAGAGTATTGTTTGAAGAATTACTACCAAGATATTAGCCAAAAAAAAGTAAAAGTAATCCTCTTTGGAAAAGGCTTCTAAAATGTTGTTTATAGTCTTTATTTGGGTGGCAGCGCTTACATTAATCTTTCTGGTTTGTTTTAGTTTATTGTGGTGTCCTTGAAGGATGGAATGTTTAACAACGCAAATGTCCTCTACAAGACCAAGTTTGTGGATGGTGTATCCACTGTTGCAAGATACGAACAGCTTCAAAGCAGGAAAAATGCAGCTACCCTCAAGAAAGCCCATGAAGTACTAAAGCGTGAAAAAAGACAATCTGCAGAAACAGCAACGAACTTACATGACCTGTATTAGCAGCTGCTTCAGTACCCCCAGCCTGTATCTAGACCAAGAAGAAACTCTTCATTTTCTTCTTTTAGAAAATAGCTTTTAATCTTGAAGTATTTTTTTTAATAGCTTAGCTTTCAATTCACACCCATGCTTCACCAAGAATTGAAATTCACAGGAGACTGTTGCCTGATGGCATTTATTCCTCTTGGTGTACCATAAGCAATTCCCGTCATCCCTCTGTAAGCTTTTACACATAAATGTACATAAATAGTAGCTCTGTAAGCTCATCAGGAGGAACTGAAGCCTTTAAATGAGGAAAATCTGATTTGACTTGCAGTGTTTATGGCATTCAGAAACCCTGTTACAAAGTGTAAACTGTCTCCTGTTCTCAATTCCAGAGAACAGTAGCATACTAATTTTTTAAGCTATTAAAATTGTTTTTAAGGAGCATGGTATTAAGAATTTTAACTCACAAATTATTTGAACATTATTTACAATTTGCTGCACTGATGTTTTTAATCAATAAATGCCTGGAACTACACAAGCTGATTGTGTACATGCCTTCCTGTTTTTCATCCCAGTGCCTACTCAGAAGTAAACACTTCCTCAGTTTTGAGCTTCCTGCTGTATTCCTGATTATTTAATTCTGTACTGTAGAGGTAAGACAAAATTAATTTTTTTTAGACATGGATGGTCACAATCAAATTCAGACATCCTGATGTATCTTTTTTTTTTTTTTCTTTTTTCCTCCATTTCCCTTGTCTCCTGTTACCAATGACCCCAAATAACATCCTGCTGCCTTCACTGGCCAGAAATAATGATGCATCTGTGCAGCCAGCACTCAGGCAGCAGAAGTCCAGCTTTTGTCACAGCTCACCACAGCAAGCTGGAGCACACCACCGCTACCAGTGGCGAGGCTCCGTGTTCTGGGGGCTCGTCTCGCCGGATGATGCTTCAGCCAGGGGGTAGCTAGTATCCATGCTCACTCTCTGCTCAGCTGATTCCCCCCACCCGCGGCCCCTTCTCTTCCTTTCAGAATACCATTTAGAAAAGTAAATTTAATTGACAATGGTTTGAGGGGGGATTTGTCTGTGTCTGAAATAGTTTGAAAATGTATTTAAGCAATATTCAAGATCTTAACATTTCCAATCTCATGGCCTTGTCTTCCATACATATGTGTATACATGGACTATAATTGTATTTTTTCAGACTATATACACATATCCTGTATCCCTGGCTGTCTGCAAGAGGCCAAGCTGTTCGCTTAAAAGCCAAATTGAGACAGTTCCTCCTGACTGGATGCTGTCATTTGTAATGCGGACACCTCCAGTCTCAACGGCTGATGTGCACCAAGCATGGACAGGGCAGAGCAGGACGTAAAGGTGTGCTCTGAGTAAACTGAGAGTAAACACTCACAGTGGGAGAAAAAAAAAAAACAACAACAAAACACTACCATTTACTTTGAAGAACAGGTCATGCAGCTTTTATTTACTTTTACCTTTTTGGTAAGCAGGAGAGTTTTCTTTCAGTCAGACCATTCACATACTTTGACAGTACAGATTGCAGTGAGTTTGATGGAGATCTTGCAACATTAGAAAATGTTTCTCAATATACATCCATTTAAGCAACAGCTTGCAGGTCAGAATGTGAGTGCTAGAGTCAAGTCTGCGCACCGCACTCCAGGTATACAAAGCATTGCAGCAGCACAAGAAATGCCCGCACTGGGCAAAGTACAGTGTGTTTTACATAGTGCAATCACTTTTAGAGGAGAAACTCTAGGAAGGCCACATCTATTTATTTTTTTTTAATCCTGTCAAGTTTACAAATGTGAGGGGGGTAGAAATCAAACCTCTGACTGAATTAACTTTTGTACAGGTAGGTTTTGTGTATAGGCACGTGCTTTAGAGAGGAGCTCTGAATCTGTTCTGTAATCACGAGAAAGACATATTGCTTTGTGATTCAGAAAGTGTTATACCATCTCTAACCTTCCTAACACTCTTGGCCAGAGTTGTTAATCCAGCTGTTTGTAGAGTTCCTAGAATACGCTCCTCCCTCTAGTGTAACTCCCCAATAGAGAAATTCAGGTTGCTATTCACAACAATTACAGTTATTCTACTTACGGTCATCTGACCATATTAAGCATTGCCTCTGAATACTCCAGTCCACAGTGAAAACTCAAATTACCAGAGACGTGGAGGCTCTTGCTTTTCTGTTACTGTCACTCACCCATTACGAAAAAAAAAAAAGACAATGAACTGCTACAGCAAAGCATCACTGGTAATACTCATCTAATTAAAAAAAAAAAAAAGGGCATTCATGACACTACATGTCATGGTAAGCACATTTTTAAAGATACTGTAAAGTGATTTGCCCAGTAAAATTTTAAAATGTACACTGTGCTCAATAGTTCAAACTACACGTAAACAAAGAGCAGCTCCCTGCAACAAGGTGTAAATCAAAACATTATAGCACCAGCTCCCAGCACCAAGGAGTTGCCCACTGACCAGTTCAAGTGTACAATGCAATAGTGCTCGCTGAGGTTTCCGCTACACAGGAGCCGCAGTGGGACAGCTCTGCCCATTTCTCACTGATGTTTTCTTACTGGGTGTGCACAAATGACATCTCTCCCTTCCCATGGAAAGCAAGTCAGACACCGAGATTGTTACAGTACCAGAAAACACTGAATTGGAAATGGCACCTGAGGGAAAAGTTGGTACTGCATACCTGATTCCAAATAAATGGGCATGGAGGAACTGTGACATTATCTGAGCAATCCTCTCCCTAACAGGTCAGATCTGAAAGGAGCTGCAGACTGCAAGAAAAGAAACAAGCTTTCCTATGCTGAAAGCCATGGACACAATATTGCCCACATGAATTACTTTGTTTCACCATCAGCAAAGCATTTATCCCCAAAAAGCTGTACACATACTGGTCAGATTATGGTGCAGTGCTAACTTTACACTATTAAAAGTCTGTTGCTATAGTGGTCAGGTTTGTCTTTTATCTGAGGAGGGCAAAAAAAAGGAGACAGGCAGCATGGCCACATCATATAGCAATTTTACTCCACGTTAACGCAGATATAATCCTTCTTTGTAAGTGCAAATTAAAAAGTATTTGCTAGAAACCAGCATAACTTGGGCTGCTGAGAAATGACAGATGATTCAGTTTCTTACAAATACTCACAACTCTAAATCATTACAGATTTCCAAAGCAAGAACAGGGGTAAGAACAGGAAGGGAATAAAACATTACCACTATTTTAAAAAAAAACAAAAACGTGTCATTGCAAACTTCGAACACTCTTCAAAAACATATCTAGAAAAGATTGTTTTCCTATTATTATTTTTTTCCTGCAGCTGAGGAGTGTCCATGCAAAACAATTTTAAGAGCAGTGTTCCACCTGGGCACCAACTAGGCCCAACTTTGCTCCACACAGCTCAGTAAAGTGCTCTCTTGTGCATCCTTTGAGGAAAAAAGTTCTCATTTAAAGTTTGGGAGGCCAAGGTGGCTAGCTGGGGCAGGCATAGTCTCAGTCAATCTGTGTTGAGGTCAGAGAAGGAGGAAGGAGCGAAGTTAACAGTACTCTGCCTTTCGTAACTCACAGACAACAGGCTGCAAGGGAGGAGCATGCAGGAGAAGCAGTGGTGGGTGTCAGATGAAACCCTGCCCCTGGAAGCTTCAGGCGTTTAACTTAAGCTTCAACAGGGGAGACATTTCATTCTTTATCGGTAACAAACACTAGCTCTACTGCAGAGTCCCAAAGATCGACTGTTTAGACACCAGGTAACAGATTTCCACACATAACATAAGTGAAAATCAAATATGCTTTTCACTTCCTGTGCTGGTGTTTTTTCCACAATTCCTTTGAAGGACAAAGGGGATCCAAGTAACATTCTTTTGCCAATTTAAAGAGGAAGAAAAAAAACAAAACATCTTGCCCTCAACATTTTTTATGTTGCACACTTAGGAACATTCTAGGGCAGATCGTTAGAGGTATTTACTGATAAAACAACTAACCATCAGCTTAAAAGAATAAAAATAACATTAACGGGGAAATGAATTTAAGGCATTTTTTATTTTGGCCAGGAATGATGCATGCTACAGAGTAATCTTCATTTTCCCACTTGGTTTTCAGACCACTGCACTTTTTTGTTTTTGTTTTACATGGCACTTTGTGTTTTACAACTTAGTCAAGACTTTCAAGTGTTTTCTTCAATATAAATGCCTTCTCTTGTAGCTCAGGTCTGCTATCTGATGCCATTGTAGACAATGAACGAATGAGGCGCTCTCTGCTTTCTGATGTCAGGCTTTCCCACTGTTGAGCTTCTGTGTAGATAAAGACAGACAGACAGACACTGGACATGAATACCAGAATGCCAAAACAACCAGCAGGTGCAGTCCGCACTGCTCTTCCAGAAGAAGGCTACTGAGGAGGTAAGTTCAGCTGGACCTGCACAGGGACTTGTGCCTATTTAGACTAGGCTTGATTGTCTAAGCCTGCAACATGTGAAAACAAGGGCCTGAAGAACCAAATGTTTCCCACTTCACAATTGCCTCATGTAATATAAGAAGATTTTTGCTAGGGTAAAGGAAATGCAAAGTGCCTAACAGAAATCCAAAGGAAACATTTGCTACAGAAAAACTGCAGACATGTATGACCTTGACACCTAAGTAACTTCATTCTCTGAAGTAAATTCTGCTAGGCTTAAATCTTAAATTAACAACGAGGAGCTAAACTTGGTACTGAAAGGGTAAGAATTACTCTTCTTCATGAACAGGAGCTCTCCCCTCTATGGAGCTTGTACATGATGCAGAATCTGACTCCACACGCAGTCCTGTGTGCTCTCCCTGGGACCCTCCTTGCTGGACATTTTCCTCACCCAAGGAGTATCCAGCAGTACTTTACACCTTGACTTTATCCAGTTACTTTAAGCCCTCTCCAAGTTTCCCAAGTCACCAAGCACAGAACTCCAAGTCCCAACCGCCCCAGAATCACCCAGTGCTGCATGCAGAAGGCAATGCCATCTCTCCAGGGTTCCAGGCCACACACCCAGATCCCTTCTTTACCAGTGGCTCACCCAGGTGGTAAGCAAAAAGTCTCACCTTGCAGTTTGGTGAGCAGCAGTTGTATCACAGACAAAGCTTCTGTTCTTATGGACGTGTAGCTTTTGTTTTCTAAGGGATTTAAAAAACAAACAAAAAAACCACCACCACCACATTGAGAACCAAAGTCTGTACAAAGAGCAGTCACCACTGTGGTCTCCAGACCACTTTTGTTAGCACAGCTCACTGTGGTCATTTGTACTGTTGGTCTGCAGTGCTCCCTCCCCCATTAGACAAATTTGAACGGCAGCAAGTGACCAATCAGAGGTTGTCAAGTCGATGAAGCCTTGTGCATCGCCACTGCTATTACCACAGCGCTACTGTTCTTTACATGTGTTGCAAGGGAACAACCCTGGCATAGCTGCAATGTGATCACAGACAACTTCTGGGCATAACAGACTGTTCTTTTGGTGAGTTGTAATGGCTATAAACCATCCAAATTTTAACAAGTAGCATTAAGTGAGGGTGCATAAACCCTATGCCATCAAGCAAAAGATCGTCATAAAAAGTTATTTTGTCTCCTGAGCTAAAATATTGTTAAAGTCTCGTTCCAGGGATTGGTAGTTTAAAAAAACTTTCCCCAAAGGGGTGTCTGGATGGGCACCTAGCTCTAAAGTAGGTGCTGCCTTTACACAGACCAGAAACAAGAGCCACACACAGGTGTGAGGAGACTCAGGCACTGTTATAGTCACAGGACATGTGGGAACACCACCAAAGTAATAAGCAGCCCCACAACTGTCAGCATGACATAGGTAGCACTTATATCCCCATGGGCACTCTGCTCAGGGAGAGCACAAACCACCTCAAAGCCTTGGAGTTTCATGCACTAGCTGTCTGAGAAAATTTTATGTCTCTCTGATGCATATGTATCCAAGAAGTCTGAACTGTGGAGGGGTAAAACATTAAATTGGTAATAACTTGATCAGGTGGAGTCCATCTCCTGCATGGAGAAAATTACTACATTTCTGATTTGCACTCCTGAGAGGCTGCCCACACAGGAGTCTGCTCTCTGCCTCTCCCTCTCCTTGTAAAGCTCTCTTGCACCAGAGGAATTTACTTCTCTGTGTGCAGCAGTCTGCATAGTACTATCTTGAAGAGCTACTGCAAAATCAGAATTATCACAGTGTGACTGTTATCTCTGACAGCTTATGCTTATTCTGCACTCCCCAGAGGAGGAAAGTATTAACAAGCAATTCATCAACCACAAACCAGGAAAAGTCCATTTACCTAAAGAATGGGTGATAGATGAACAGGTTTCCAACAGTATTTCTGTCAAAGCCACAGGGTCTGAGTGCTCCTCATCAAACAGCATTAGCCTGTCAAATGCAAAATCACTGTCAGATACCCTGCATCACTGGGACTGAAGTCTGCTCGACTTCCTCCAAGAATCAAGTGCCATCCTCCATTTCATTAAACAGTTTGAAGCAACAAAGAAACAAAAATTCATCAAAGCTGATTGCAGAAAGGAGAATTACCCTTGAAAGTAGGCATTCATGGCTTGTAGCACTCCAAGCTGCACTTTCCATGTGCTGAGTTTCAGACGGTCACACATTAACTTGCAAAATTCTTGGCGATAGCAACCTACAGAAGAATAAGGATGTCATTGTGTTGCCATGGGGAAAGACAGAAGGACTTCCTGCTCTGTCTCCTAGGTATTCCTTGTGCTCCTCTCCAAGTGACATCAAGCTAGTCACTGCGTATGACCAAGTCAACATCCTATAGCAAGTGACTCTGAAAATCTTTGCCACATCAATGCTCTCATTAACAAACACTGGAAGATAAACAGGTGCATTACACATGCTAATAAAGCAACCTGTTTTTTTCAGATATACCCAGTTCCTCCACCTTGTACCTTTGTGATGCAAATGTAAATGTGAGCAGCAGAACTACGCTGCTTTTGATTAAGCAAACCACCTCAGGCATCCTGCATGTCTCTAAGTTTGCTGAGGCGAATTCAAGACAACAGTAAAGGAACTTCCCCAAGGACTGGCTGCTTGGTGGGAAAGCTGTTGGGGCAGCTTTCTCACTGAAGATCTCGCGAGCTGCAAGCACCTCCTCAAAAGCCTCCTCATTCCACACTTTACCTCCAGGTCCCTCCCTCCTCCCCCTTTTCATTTTAAGAGGAAACAGTTTGAGCCAAGAAAGCTTTCTCTGCACACCATTAACTGACTTACGCTGTGTCTCCAGGCTCCTCGGCCAGGCTTTGCCCAGGGTCTCGAAGGCACAGATCAGGGACTCCATCTGCACCTCTTTCTCCCTCATGTCCTCGTCCTCTTCATCATGCTTTGGTAAACCTGTGCCCATGCTCTCAAGAGAGTTCTGCGGAGGCCATGGGGGGAAGGTATGATCGACAGAAGGATGAGGGCAGGCTAGCCACACACTTCCGTGCAATTCAGTCTTCCCTTGCAGTCTGTGCACGCCAGTCCTTGTACCCAGTCAGTGCCGCCATACAGACGGAGCACAGGCCCCCTTGGCCACCAGTAGCTCTGGTGCTACTGGCAACCTGCAGAAGTGCACAGCAGGCTCCGTGGCCTTGCATCCAAACATCTGCCTGTGCTACACGAGTCCCACTTGCAGAGCTGCGAAGCACTGCAGATACTAAACAGAAGCACTCTATGCAGCTTCCTAGGAGTCTCTTGCTGCCTGTAGAGCAGCCAGGAATTAACTTTTAATGGTGTATCGGGGCAGTGCTGGACACCACAGGAAGGACTCTGCCTAGAGAACAGCTGGGCTAATTCAGAATTTGGGCAGCACAGGCACAACCCCCCCAAGGGCTCACCAACGGTCTGGTATTCAGCCCCACCAAGGATCTGGCTGAGTGTGGTGTACTTCTCACATCAGCAGCCTTCTGGGCAGAAGTCTGGCGTGTGTCCAGCATCAGCCGGACTGTCACCACCTGGGCGTTTTGCTTTGAAAGAGGGAAAAACTCAAGAAGCTGAACTGTCACCTTCTTTATCATGGGAAAGATGATATCTGCCAGATCCTGGAACCGGTCTTCCTTTGTCGCCTGCAGCACCCCAGCTGCACAGCGCAGTGCTGCCATCTTATACTTTAGGTTCTCTTTCCGACATTCTTTTAGGACGGCCTGGACAATATCATTGACGGTGGGCTGGCCAGGCACTGAATTCTGCAGCTCTGCACTGAAACACAAGGCACACAGAAACTATCAGACCCACATTAATCCCCCCTAAACACTGGTTTTCCCACAGATAGGAAGTAAATCCTGTGTCCAGGCACAGGGCTGCCTGCCAACAGCTGTAACTGAAGTTACATTCTGGTGCTCCTCTTCACTATTACCCTGTCCATTCTCCCTGTTTTTCTTTCCTGTCTTTCCTCATATGCTTCCAACGTACTTTGCCCCCTCACTCTTCCTCTCTTTTCCCCTTTAAGGTGTCCATCCTTCCCCTTAGTGTCTTCCTTCTTCTTAGCAATTCTGGCCTCTCAACATCCTCTTCCTTGCCCTAAATCAACCATTTACCTCTGCAGGTCCCTCTGAAGTATAACTTGCCCCTCCCAGCTCTCACCCAATGACCCACATATTGACAAGTGGAGCGGAGAGAGACTCCTCACATGCTGATGGGAGATCAGGATGGTGTTTACAGCTTTCTTGAGCCTCCTTAGCACCAGACAAGCAACACCACTGTGCAAGAACCTCCTTTTTGAGATCCCAGATCCTGAGAGTGCCACCTCTTTCAAGACACTTACTTGCATGCAGAGACGACACTGGCAATGGCCTTTAACAGCTCCTCCTGCAATGAGTAAAACAGATACCACTGAGAAACGCTACACAGCCAAATGGCACAATCCTCTTGCAAAGGGGAAACCTTTGTACTCTGCTGTGAGAGGCAGTGGGGAGATATGCCTATGACATCAGCCTAGAGAAGCAAAGTGTGGCTCCGGCCGCTCCTACTGTAAAGGCTGCAGAGCACTCAGCTGTCCATCTGCACAGAACTGGCAGTGGAGAGGAGCCTTGCAGCACCTCTGAGCACAAACTATGCCCCTCAAGCTAGAACATGGAGCAGTGGAAGTAATCTAAGTGGGAACCCAACTCCTAAACCAATCTGAACTCCATCTACTTCTCCTCCCTGTCATTTTTGTACCTGCTATGCAGGGCGAAAGGCAAGACTCCCTAAACCAGAGTTCCTACACGTGCCGCTCTGCAGCACAGAACATTGTACTTCCTGGCTCAAGGGCTGCGTGCTGATGCTTACAGTGATCCATGAGGTGCCAGTGCCCTTTTTACCTTCCCAGTCCAGGTTCTCCCTGGCAGGCCTTGCAGCAGTGCGGAGAGCACTATTCCCAGATGCGGCGGTACAAGGGAGCCTGTCTGTTTGGCAATCGATGCCATAGCAGCTGCTCCCTGGGCTTTCATCTTCCAGGACTGGGACTGCAGAGCCTTCTGAGTGATGGCTATCAACTCCTGCATATACAGTCTGATGCCACCCTGAGTACCTGTGTGTCAAACAGAGGCAAACAGTAATTTTGCCACAAAACAAACAAAAATCTGATCTTATTAAGAAAAAAAAAAGAAAAACAAAAGCAAAAAAAAAAAAAAAGCAGGCAGAGATTTATCTTTTTTTTTGTCATGAAACATATCAGCAAGGCCTACTTCAGGCAAAGGTGTGAAGAATTCCTCCCAGGCTGACTGAAGATGGGTTCTGTTTTCTAGATGCTTCCAAAGAAAATCTTTAGCATATATCTAGACAAAGAGCCATCTCAGTCCTTCCATGTTGCAGACAATAGACATTGCGTTAGTCTACGGAATATAACTTACTTCTATAACACTGGAAAACCTTTTTGCAGCTCCTTTCCCAAACTCCAGAAAAGTGATCTGGTGACTGAGGGACCAGATCTGAAATCAGCTCAGAGAAGGAGCCAGCAAAACCATTTCACCATGCATCCAGATCTTCCTCTACAGACAGAAAGCATGGCAAAATAGCCCTTCTATAGTGGCTAAAGTTCACTAAAATTAATTAAATTCACTAAAGTTAAAACCAGATCTCCAAAGAGACACAGGCCAAAGTCCCCTGTAACTTCAGAGTGTGCAGTAGTCCTTAAAGGCTGGCATCAAAATTTCCAAAGATGTCCAGCTATCTGTGCCATGATCAGGGCCATATTACAGTGGCATTCAGTGCCTCACAATCTTAAAATACTTCTCCTGACTGTGTCTGTGTATCCTCAGCGATCAAAACCTCTGTTTTAAATATTTTAAATAGCCACAGAGAAGCTAACGTGCCAAAACTCATACAGCACATCTTCAGTGAGGAAGAAAATGGAAACAAGCTTCCCACATCTCTTACCATGAGAACTCTGTATTTCCAAAACAGATTTCCAGAAAGCAAGGTATTTCTTGCCCCATACTTCCCAGAAAGCTTTTACCACTCTTAATGCAACTTACCAGGTACATTTTCCTGCCAAACTTCAGTCCATAGAGTAGAATTCTCTTTCTCTCCTTTTTCTTCATCGGGAACCTCATGCATGCCAAGAAAAGCCAATGGCAGCACATGTTTGGCATGGTTCTTCACGACATCTGGGCTGTAGCGTCCCATAGCATGCACGGTTAAAGCACAGCCTGTTCTGTAAACTGGCTCTGAAGGAGCAAAACAATCACACGTTATGCCTGGGAAGCAGGATTTTCCGTTATCAGCTTGGTCTACCCCTTGGGAAGAAGTGGAATGCAGAGTATTACCTAATGATGCATGGGAATTATTTAGCCAGTGAAACCAAGCATCGCAATATAGAAGTGTTTCTTTACCAGCTTTTGCTATCACCAGGAACTTTTTCTGCACTGTATTCTGTAACTGAACACCCCAAAAGCAACATACCTTCCTTCTCCATGTACCAACTGCTGAGTTTGTGTAGCAGCTTCTCAGTGCTACTGTCCCGGGAAGTCTGTAACAGGGAAGAGACTCAAATCACTCAAACACTTCAAAAAACCCCAACACCCAACAACAAAAAAGCAAAATAAAACCTAAAGCCATCTTAAACCCCTACTCACCCGGACTAGATGCCCCATAGCAAAGGCAAAAGACTTCTGTACCACGCTGTTGCGATCCGTCAGGCCACTAAGTAAAGCACTCATAAGTTTGCCTGTTGGAAGAGACTTCGCTTTATCAGAAGTATCATGGTTCTATTGCTGTGTCAAGAATTACTATAGCCTGCATTTCATTAGATCGTCTGAATTTATGCATTTTTCCTCATCATGTTTGTGGGGTTATAGGTCTTGTCCTTATGTTTAAACAAGCGCACAGCATAACACAGCAAGGCTCAGCAGTACCTAGTGTTCTGCCAGCCTCAGCAACCACAGCCTGCACACCCCGACTGATAACGTTCCAGTAGGTGAGCACCCCAGCTAATCATGCTTTCAGCTTTATTTCTATTTTGCAACAGAAAGGTGACCTTCTTTCTAGTATCAAATAACAATAAAATGCAAAGAGAAGACTAAGACCCAAGGAAGCAAACTCCCTGTTTATGGTCCTCCCATAGCTCAAGTTGAAGGAACAAGTCTGCTCCAAGACAGCCTAGAGATATTTCCGCCTGTTCCTGCTGGGCACTAGTGAATTCACTCAATTCCTTCCTCTGCCTCTAACTTGGCGAGGTATTTAACATCCCCAGCACAGCCGTCTCATACACACAACGCAACGTCAAACAGCCCTCTGAGGAAAATACACACATAAAGATCATTCTTGTGATGAAATCAAGGGGCATTAGGGAAGAAATACTACCTAAAGAACAGCAACAAAAAGCAGCTTTCAAACCTGACACTAGAAATGAACCTTACCTGAATAAGGTGTTAAGTCCTGAGGACACTGTGTGGTTAAGGACACAATTACACTCGCACAGCCTCCCTGGAAGATTGATTGCAAGGGAAAACAAAGGTAAGATAAAACAATATTAGCCCCTGATTACTAATGCTAATACTTGCTGCGGTGCTACATGCACTTGTTGATGTGATCTAGGCTCACCGAGCCTCTGCCCTGATAAGCTGGGATCCAAGGGTAGAAGCAAAAAAACAGTTTGTAACAAAATGAATGACAAGAACTAAATTAAGTGAAAAAGTTACCAGGACCCACACTCAGGATAGATGGTCCTGGCAGATTTACAGCTATCAAGGACAACCTTCTGCACTCGCTGTCACAGAGTACAACACCCATGTAGCCCAGGGGAGGTTAAAGCAGCATACATTCAGAAAATCACAAGTAATGTAGGTGGATTGAGACTGAGATGTAAAATGACTCCAGTATGAATGAGCCCAAGCTGTCACTTTAAAAGAGACAGTCATAAGAACCCTATTTACGTTCACACTGCTCTGTGTTCCCCTCTCCATTTCCAAATGAACTATTAAAATTAGACGTACCTTTGTGCCAAGGCCTACTCCACTTTTGATCAGTTCACACAGCCGGGGAACCAGCTCACCCAGGACGGACACATCCAAATACTGCAAGCACTAGAGAAAGGCAAAGGATGGTGGGGGGGGGGAAGAAAGGTAATGGTGACAGATTTATGCTGGTCTACTTCCAGCTGAGGCCTCCCTCAGTTCTGCAGGCTGGTCTTCACCTGAATCGGGAGAGTTTGCTGCATGGTGGGGAAAAAGGCACCACAAAGTGGCTTCTACCACAGACAGATTGTCTTGTCCAACTTCTATGCTAAGCTGACCCTGCTAAAATTATCACTTGCTGGACTGGAAGTACTCCTGCACTCCAGCTGTCTAGAAAGCTGAAAGCAATACACTAGCAAGAACTCCTTTTGGGGAGGGAAACAGATGCAAAGGTGTGCATATTTTAGGACAAAACCCAACATTCTCTCAACTGGCTGGAACCCTGAAGCAATAAGATGTCCAAACTAGAGAGTGAAACAAAACTAGTCAAGACAAGTGGTATAAATGATATAAGAGTAGAAGAGGGATGTTATTGGTATAATTTCTAATCTCCTATGCCTAAAATGCCACTGGGCAAAACAGAAAGCCTGAAGTTACCAGTGCTCTGTAGCACACTGCCTGCAGAGGGGAGATCCATCTTCTAGCAAATTCAAGGATTACATACTAACTGAAGGTAATGCTCTCTGAGTTTCAGAAGTCAGATCTACTGTCCCTTCCCCCTCCTGCACCAGTACGGTGCAGGGAATAATCCATTATATCCTATAATCTCCAAGCCAGCCCCAGAATAGACGAATAGAAAGAAGTTGCTCAACCAGGACATCCTCACGCTACCTACTACAGGGAAACCATACTATCTCTCCCCTCCCTTAGGAAATGCCAAGCATTGATAGCTTCTATAGATATGTTTGTGATAAAAGGAGGATGAGGGAAAATGTGGGTCCCCTCTGGAATGAAACGGATGACCTGGTTACCCAGGATATGGAGAAGGCTGAGGTACTCAACAACTTCTTTGCCTCAGTCTTCACTGGCAAATCCTTGAGCCACACTGCCCAGGTCACAGAAGGCAGGGACTGGGAGAATGCAGAACCCCCACTGTAGATCTCGAAGATCAGGTTCGAGAATATCTAAGGAACCTGAAGGTGCACAAGTCCATGGGACCTGATGAGTTGCATCCACAGGTCTTGAGGAAACTGGAGGATGAAGTGGTCAGGCCACTCGCCATCATA